GATTTGAAATAAAAATGTAGCAGAGACTCGTACAAAACTATATAGAGTTAACAAATTTTAACTAGGAACCTAACTGATTAGTTAATTTTATCGCCCAATCAGTCAAGTTCAACTCACTCACCTTATCAAATCACATAAGCTAAATTGGTATGGAATATCTAATTTTTTAACACACCTCTACACATAACCATCCTTCCACAAAAGAAAAAAACTAAAAATAAAATTGGGGACATTCAAGCCTCAATTTGTCGACACCCCTAACACTGGTCTTTATAAAATTAGTTAATTTGTATATATTACTTTTTGTTCCAAAACTTTTTTAGATAATATTCTTTCAACCTAAAAGGGACAAATTTTAATGGAAACAGCATTAAATCATCAATCACTACCGCTTTTCGTTCTCAGACAAAGACAATGGAGAATGTAAAGACAGATGGGAGTGGTCCCAATATTAATATTTATTTCTCTACCTTTCTTTTCCAACCACCCAAAAAATATAATTAGGATAACTTATTTAATAATTTTGAAGAATTATGCAATATATGATTAAAATCAATAACGTAGTAAAAATATTAGGAAAAATTATTTATAAGTCCTATTATAGAAACTTATGATACATATGGTCCTACTAAAAAATTTAGGCTCCATTTGGTAAGAGTTTCGAATCATAGTTTCACCCATTGATTTGAGTGTGCGGTTTGTTTTGAGCTTCCAAATCCTAATTCTACAGCTATTTCTCAAAACTCAATTCAAAACATAATCATTACTTTTCAAAACCCAAAACCAAACACATAATTCAAAACTATTTTCAAAACTCAATTCAAATCAATATTTTAATTTTGTTAAAATTTTAAATATTTTAATATTTAAATATGTTACAATTTTTTAAATTTTTTAACTTTTTTAAATATTTTGATTTCAAAATATTACGATTTTAATTTTTTAAAATTTAAAATATTTTATAAAAATAAATTCAAATTCTATTTTATAAAAATATTTTTAAATATTTTAATTTTGTTGTTATGTATTTGGTTACGATTTGAGTGTAGAATTGTGAAAATAGTATGGAGTTTCGAGTTGTGTGTTTGGTTATGAGTTTTAAAAATAATTTCTTAATTGAATTTTGTTTTATGTGTTTGGTTATGATTTGAGTATAGAGTTATTTTTAAATTTAAAATATTAAAATTTTAAATTTTTTGAATATTTAAATTATTTAAATTTTTACGATTTAAATTTTTTTTTTGAATATTTATTTTAATTTTTTACTTATTAAATTTTTTATATTATTTAAATATTTATGATTTAAATTTTTTGAATATTTATTTTGAAAAAAATATATTTCCTTCGTAGTATTTTCAATTAAAAAATTGATTAATGTTATTTTCTGTTAATGATAAAAAAAATTAATTGAATTTTAAAAAGAGTTTGGTTATGAGTGTTGATCAGAATTTTCAATAGTGTGAAAGTATTGTGTTTTGTTATGAGTTATAACAATTTAAAATAAGTTTTGAAAACTCTTTATAAAACTCATAACCAAACAAATTTTCTTTCTTCACATGTCAAATCAAGCTTTCAAAGCTCAATTCAACACTCTATTCAAAAATCATAACCAAACAAATTTTATACACTCAAATCATAATTCCACAACTCACAAACTCAAAATACAACTCATACTCTCAAATCATATTTACAAAACTTTACCAAACGCAACCTTATGTTCTCATAAGTCATGTGGGAAGTTTGTTGACACATTTACCCTCAATATTAGTTGTTAATATCATAAGTAATAGTAAAACCATATATAAGAAATTGAATGTTATCATAGATCATATCTAAATAAACGTGACGTAACGTGACACCTACATAAACGTAATGTGACACCTATACGTAACGTGACACATACATAAACGTAACGTGACACCTATGATCTATGGTAACATGCAATTTCCTATTGCATATTACCATAGATCATATCTACATAAACGTAACATAACGTGACACCTATGATCTATGACAACATTGAATTTTGTCATAGATCATATCTACATAAACGTAACGTAATGTAACACATGCATAAATGTAATGTGACACCTATGATCTATTCGTGACACCTACATAAATATAACACGACACCTATGATCTACATAAACGTAACGTAACGTGACACCTGTGATCTATGGTAATATGCAATTTCATATAGGAAATTGTATGTTACCATAGATCATATCTACATAAACGTAACGTAACGTGATACCTACATAAACGTAACAGGACACCTATGATCATAGGTGTTATGTTACGTTTATGTAGGTAGGAAATTGAATGTTACCATAGATCATATTTATATGAAACGTAACGTGACACCAACATAAACTAGCAATATTTTCACATTCAATTTAAAAAAATAAAAACTCATTAAGTTTGCGAAACGTAACGTGACACGTTACGTTACGTTATGTTTATGTAAGTGTCATGTTACGTTACGTTTATGTAAGTGTCACGTCACGTTATGTTTATATAGGATTTTGGGGAATACATTCATATATAAATAGGACTTGAGACTCTATAAGAAATTACACAAAACTTAACCTACCATAAGTGTCTGAAAAAAGATTTATAAATAAGTCTCCCAAAATATTATAAGTGTGACATACAAACTTGTGAAAAAATTTACATAACAATATTGCATAACATTTCAAAAGTGTGATCCACTTAATGTTGAAATTTATCATTTATCAAAGATGTAAGCATATAATGTCACACTATTAAAAAATATCTAATAAATACAGCTTCCGTTTGGGAAGTAGGTTGATTTTTTGGTTATTTTAACCTGGGCTAAAAAGTTTGGTTTGTGAAGAACTTTTTGATTTTTTTTGACTTTTTTTGTGAGAGAAGAGTGTAATGATTATGGGTTGAATGTGATATTTTGTTTATTGTGACTAAAATAACCTGTTTTGTCTTTTGTGACTATTTAAGCCGCAAACCAACTTGCCAAACAACACCACAGTGGTATATTAACAAAAGATTAATATGCAAAAATTACGTACAAAAACGTTGTCATAAAGTTTTCACCATTTATTAAAAAGAAAAGGGAAAAAAAAAGAGTCATTTCATATGGTTTATATTTACAAAAATGTTAGAAAAAACTATTAATAAATCTCATTTGGGGAAATGTTAGTCCATTAGTTCTACATGTTTTTTTTGATAAACCAAATAGTTCTTTTTAATTGTAGTATATATTATTGATTTGATTTAGTAATATTTAAATTTACTTATTTGTCCCTTATTGTGATTATGTTTTTTATGTGTTTTTTGGGATTGAGTGTATATAGATAAGGTATCATTTAACATTTCTATTTTTTTTAGGAATTTCGTGGAGTGATTGTGGGGATTATTGATGTTACCTACTTGGTGTTGCATTATTGATGTTAATTCATTTTTGTTTTCTTGGAAATGTGTGGATTGTAACGTTCACATTTACCTACATAACATTAGTCCAGAGCCACATTGTCGTACTATTAAGCCTCTCACTAACAACCTATAACATTAGCACCAAACACCAACCACATAACATAACATAACATTGACACAGCCCGACAATCCCCAACAATTAACAGCCATTACCCCCTACTACCACCAAACCTCACCAACACTTTCAAGCATACATCCTCCCGCTAGCCTCCAACATTACAAAATACACACACAATCATACAAACATTAGCTACAACACCATACGTCTGTTACATTACATACATGCACGTCACATTTGCAATCACTTGTAACACCCAAACCCGTGAAAATATTACAACATTAACCAATAAAACTATGTGTCTGTCACATTATGAACATGCACAACATCACATTTGCAATCAATGGTAAACTCCAAATCTATGATGTGAATAAGATCACCTAAAACCCTACATGACACACCAATTAAACAAAAGTCAATTTCGAGTATCGACTTTGATGTCATATTGTTCCACAAACAACCAAACTAACATTGAAGACATTCATACTTGTTATTATCGCATTAACACACGATCAACGATGTCGTCAACGGATTAATTTTAAATTGTCGACGTTACGTCATCAATATTAATTGTACTCCAAGATGTTTGATTGCCCACGCCAGTTTGCCTTTGTAAATTTGATAGAAGGGGTTTTCATGAGTTTTTTATGATTTTTTTGGGGGTTTTGTAATATTATTCGAGGAATAACGAATTATGGGTGTAATGTTCCCAAATCTATTGTTCAACTCACACAAACTGATGATCAACACTGCAACATCGTCAAGGAAACGTTGACGTTCCTATTTTTGAGCTTCCATTTTGTTCATAATGAAAGGAAAATGAAAAAAAATGATATAGTACACTTTTGAATTTTTTGGTAACTATAACATCACCTAAACAACCAATATATCCCTCCAAACATCCTATCCATGAGTTATATTCGTGGGCTTGAGTGTAATTAACATTGATATAAATGTTTCAAACTATCTAAACTTGGGATTTATTAGTGTTTCCTCAAAAATATTATTAATATCTGTTTTGTTTATATAAAAATTATGTAAAGCATTTTAAGAGTTCGTTTGAGATATGGGTTGACTTTTTATTTTTTGATTTTTGATTATTTTAACACGGGGCTAAAAAGTCTCGTTTGAAATATGTTTTTTTTTACTTTTGTGAGAAAAAAAATGAAATGATTATAAATTGTATGTAATATTTTATCATATTTAATTAAAATAATTAATTTTATTCCATGTAACTATTTTAGTCCAAACTTGCTTCCCAAATGGAGCCAATATGCTTTATTTGTTTTTTTTGTTTTTTGTTTTGTTTTGTTTTTTTTTTTTTTATAAAAAGATTTGTTTATTTATTTTAATCTAATAAAATTTAAAAATAAAAAATAAAAAATAAAAAAGTGCTTGCGCCTGTACCTACACCCTCACCCACACACCGCGTGAGTCTGTGTGTCAACCCTCTCTCTCTCTCCACTTTCTCTCTCTAAAACGCTCAACGCTTTGCCGTCTTTGTCAAATTGTGTTTTGTTCCTTCCTTCGTCAAACACCCCACTGTCTAGTTCCCATCTCTCTGTCTGTCTCTCTGTCTCTCTCTCTCTCTCCCCATCAGTAGCAAACTTCCATAGCTTTTGAAACTATTTTTCTTTCTTCTTCTTATTTTATTTTATTTTTTTCATTCCCACTGTACTGGCCTCTACAGGCACCATCCACAAAGAATTTGTGCCTCACATTTTCTTTTAAATTTTTAAATTTTTTTGGAACATAGGAAGCTATTCTCTCTCTGTCTCTCTCTCCCTCTCTCTCTCTCTCTCTGTGTGTCTCAGGCTGAGAGTAGATTAGGGTTTGGTTTTCTTTAGTGGGTAATTTAGCCCTGAATTGGGTAGGGCTAGAACTAGAACTTTCCCTTTTTTTTTTTTTTTTAAATTGATTTTCTGGTGCTGCAATATATAGTTAGGGAGTTATGGTGAGGAGACATGGATGGCAACTGCCAGCTCACACCTTTCAGGTTTGGTTCACTCTCTCTTCATTTGTGTAAAAAATTCTGATTAGGGTTTTTGCTCAGTTAAGTAATTTCTTAATGTGGGTAGTTGTTTTTTGATGGTAGAAATGGGGAAAGGTTCCCTGTTTTCTTTGTGGATTTTGAGTTTCACATTGTGGGTGAGTACTGAAGTAGTTGTTGAATTCACATGGTCAAAATTACTTGCTGCGTGGTGCTTTCTTACAAATTACAACGTGATATTAGTTAGTTTGTATTGATGACTTTAAATTTGGGCTTTTTTACTTGATAAATTATGCTCAAATTCCAAGAGAATGATTGGATGTTGTGTGGTCTTTGAAGTTGTATGTTTGATTTAGTTATTCTAACTTTTCATATCTGAACATGTTTCAGCTCAAATGGGTGCACTTTGTACTAAATGTAGTGTGCACATCTTCTTTTTCGAACTTCTTTGGTTGTATATGTGTGTGTGTGTGTGTGTGTGTGTAAATATGATTATGCTTTCTGAAATCATGAAAATATTTAGAGGTTCTCCTTGCACGCTTGAAAGATCTTGCTTGGTTTTTGTTTGCTTTCTATCAGTGATTTGTCTCCATATTCCATAATGTTCTTTTGTGTCCTTTTGCCTACTTATTATCAAATTTTACAGTTGAGTTCTTGTTCATGGATGTCTGTTAAGTTGCCCAATAGATCACTGTTGCTGCATGCGGTTAGTTTACATTGTTTCAGCATTATTTTTTGCTCTAATACTGCTCTGAACGTGCTTGTCTTATTGGCTGTGTCATGGAAATGAGATTAATGCATTGTGTTTTGCGTAGCATTTTAGATTCTTTCCACGTGTTCATTGTCGTACCCCCCCTCCTTTTTGCTGTGAGGGGGATTATAGATTGACACGGTCCTCAAGGATGGTCCTCAGAAGATGGTGAGCTGATATCGTTTGTCAAGTCCACTGTTTGCTAACCAGTCTACGCACTGGTAGACCTCCATATAACAATCGGTCATGAGGCAATATCGAGGGATTTAAATCATTTTCTTTACCAAAGATTTATGTGGGTGCATGGTATTTGTTTTTGTTGATCACCTGCTCATTCACCTAGGGATTTATGGGGTTTGATTTTGGTTTTATTTGGGTTGGATTGGGTTTGCCGTAAAGATGTTGTCGGTGTTTTGTTTAGTTTGTGTGGAGGCAGAGTGGGGAAGCAGAGGAGGAGGGCCTTTTGTGATTAGCTCCATTACGTTTGATGTGGCTCATTTGAAGAGAGTGTAATAGGAAGACCTTTTGAGGAGTTGAACAACCCTTTTAAAGGCTTGAGAGGTTCTTTTTGTTGGTATAGTTAGATTCTAGGGAAGGTTATACCTGACATGGATAATTTTGTGGGCTTGGTGGATTCTCTTCATTTGTAGGAACGAAGTACATTGTGACCCTAGTTTTACAATACTTATTAACTAATGACTAAAGTAAACAAATCCAGATCCTTTAAATATATATATTTTAATAATATTGTGGATGTGTAGAGCTTGATGTTTATGTTTTGCCTTTTTTGAATTTTGATGTTGACAAAAAAAAAAAAAAAGAAAAAGAAAAAAAAACCCTTGAGAATAGCACTTGGCTATTCATGCAAAGAAGGAGAAGAAGAACAAGTAGAGGAAAAGAAGGAAAGAGATGCTTCACCCTCAAAAGGGTTGGGCATATTCACACAAACACAATATCAAATTCTAATAACTCCATTTCTCATATCAAATTCACATTGTAAGGTGCTAGACTTTCAGATTCCTATAAGATTACAAAATTTTGACAGATGATAGACTTCCCATATTTCTATAAGCTTAAGGAATTTTGACCAATTAGAATATTCTAGAGCTAACAAAGACTCCACAGAATAAAACTTAAACTAACCCTAAACACGATAACATAATACTTCATGTGAAATTCAGATTTACCTTCTTTTTTTTTAAAATTTTTTTAAAATTTTTCCCCTCTTGTCATCACTGATTCAAAACCCACCATTTCTGCCTCTAATATTAACTACATGATTCTAATAAGATTTTTGTTTGCTTGTTTGTTTGTTTTGTGTGTTTTTCTTTACATTTATTTTTGATCAAGTTGTTTTATAATCGAAGTTATTGTGATGTGGGGTTCTCTATGAGTTTTAATATGATAGCCTAAACTCAACTTAGAATGAAGAAATTATGATGTGGCTTTTGTGAAATTCTATTGTGTTGACGATGGAAATTATTCTTATCTCTGGGCATTCATTTCATGTTTAGATTATGTAAAAAATGATGTATAATTGATTGATTGATGTATTGTTGTATTACAAGATTGATTGATTACAATTCCTATACAATCTATATATAGAAGAAAATGTGGTAGTAGGTGTAGTGGAGGTGATAGTGGGTTAGGTGAAGTGGAGTGTGTGGTGAAGTGGAGGTAGGTGAAGTGGAGTGTGTAGTGGAGTAGGTGAAGGTAAAGATGGGAAATTCTAACAGATTAGATATAAAAGCTGCTTCTGCAGTAACTTATTATACTGATAAACGGAAATTGTTTATCTCCCTAAGTACTTATTAAGATATATTGTAGAAACTATTTTCTGTGCACTACCATAGTCACAAAGATAGCCTCATGGTGGTTTTAACATCACTTGATTACGGTTTATCTTTTGCATTGATTGCAGGTCCATGGTTTATGTATAAACATGTTTTTCCCCCCTCTCCCACTAATGACATGATAACGACATCTATTGAAGTGTCTATTTTGAGTTATTTTTTTACACTAATGGAGTTGGCCATCTTATCGATTTTAAGTTCGAAAGTGTTTGCGTTTTCATTTTAGCACATGATTATTTGTTAAAATTTGTTCTTTTTCTTTGGTAGGTTGTTGCAATTACCGTATTTTGCTTGTTGGTTGTCGCATTCTATGCTTTCTTTGCCCCTTTCCTTGGAGGCCAAATCTGGGAGTATGCCTTGTTTGGCACTTATTCGCTGGTGGTAAGTGGATTTATTTGATTTGAATTATGGGCTTGCGCTTTTTGCATTTATTTTTTCAATAGCATTTGGAAAATGAATAGTTGATCTTGGAATTAGTTCTTATGAATTCCATCTATTTTATACAAGAAAAGCAAGACCTATTTATACAAGTTTTATAATTCCTTTCAGCATGCTTCCTTTTTTAAGGGGGGAAAAAAAAGAAGAAAGAATGAAGAGAAATTAATCATGACATACTTTTTCATGAAATAGTTTGACGGTTCAATTCTCATTCATCTCGTGCTTTCTTTTGTGTTATTATGTTAATAGTGCCAACTGCTGCTATCATATTCACACAACTTCATTATTATGATTATTACTATTTTTTGGGGGTGGAGGGAGGAGCTATGAAAATCGTAATGACATGTAAAGGACATGAAACTAATTGGATTCAAATTTGGGTCTGTCTAGAAAGGAGATAGGAGGACCATAGGCCACTAGGATGTCTCCTTTGGAATGATACAACTTCACTCAACAGCCAGAGAACTCCAGATTAAAAAAATAAGAAAAATTACATTTACAGTAATAATAATAATAAAATACCACTAGTGAGCCTTAAGAATAGTAGTCCAAGAGAGAGATATAAGAACAGTATAGAGTAACCTCATGGTCTCAAACTCTCGGCTCTATCCTGACATGCATAGCCTTCATATGTGATGGTGTTCCTCTTCTTATGGTATTGCAGGCACTGCTTGTTTTCATTCTTTATGTTCGGTCTACTGCAATTAACCCTGCAGATCCTGGAATTATGTCTAAATTTGATTTTGGTTATAAACCCAATTCAAAGCTTGAGCTATCGACCAACTCTAGAAAATTTAATGAACTTGGCACTGCAACACATTCTTCTCCATCATCGGCTAGAAGTTCCATGACAGGAGTAAACTCTGTCAGGAAAGGTTCAGAAGAACAGACGAGGATCGATATGCAGATGGAACCCCCTAGTGGAAGATCATCATGTCATATTGTTCGAGGAATTTTATGTGCAGCATTTGTACATGAAGATTGCCGCAAACAAGATGAGGCTGCTGATCAACAGGGCACAGGTGAAGATGCTTTGTACTGCACATTGTGCGAGGCTGAGGTATTTTTTATTCTTGATCATCCATATATAAAACTTGAAGTCTTTAAGCCTCTTTAGTTGTATTTCAAGAATATGCCTTTAATGAAACAACTTAGACCGCCTTACCAAACTTTATGATCAATGTAATAATGGCATCTAATCAATACCAACTTTGCCTCCACTCAACTGTGACATTGAAGGCTATAACCTGCATTGCTACGGCCTCACCCTCTCACCTGCTTCACCTCAAAGCCTTATCATTATCACTCCATTGTGGATCCACACTGTCACCATAGAACTGCTTGATTGCTTATCTTCCCCGTATGACCCTTGCTTGTTATCTTTGCCAGCTGGAGCTTAACCCAAGTGAATTGCAAAATGACAGGAATGTGGGTAGAAAGATTTCCCATAGGAGATTCAACCACGTTTATACTCCTTTGTCTGTGTCTTTGTGCTGCATATCAATCTTTTGCATACACTTGCTTTTGAATGATTATAGGGGTTTATGGTACCAATACAAAAACTTGATTGCTAATTGTGTTACATTTGCTATATTTTGGGAGATTGGTTGGAAATGAATACTAGGATTTTCAATGATAGATTTTGAGGGGTCATGGGATAAGATGTCATATATCTTCCTTTTAGGTGTCAATTGAATCTTCTTTTAAGGGTATTCCATTATTTCTGATTAGTAGAGATTGGCGAGCCGTTATCAATTTAACTTCCTTTTCCTTGCGTAATTACTTTCTTCTCCTCTTGGAATAAAATTTTCTCCCTTTTTCTATTCTCTTTATGCACTGTGAACGAAATATATCGATGGTGTCTATCCTGGACTTTTTAATTTACACTAGATGCATTTCATGCTGCAGGTGCGCAAGTTCAGCAAACACTGTAGAAGTTGTGATAAATGTGTGGATGGATTTGATCACCATTGTCGGGTATATTCTGGACTGTTCCTTGTGCTATGTGCAGAACAGATCTTAGCTAAGATGTTTGTAATATTGTCGTGGAAACTAATTGCATCATATTCGATTGTTGCAGTGGCTCAACAACTGTGTAGGGAGAAAAAACTACCTAACTTTCATTTCTCTTATGGCCACTAGTCTCGTTTGGGTATGTTTTGGACTACTTGTAGTTTTAGAAATAAATCTCTTGAACTACTATAATGATCTCTCTCTCTCTCTCTCAGCTTGTTATTGAAGCTGGAGTTGGTATCGCTGTTCTAGTGCGGTGCTTTGTCCATAAGAAAAGCATGGAGGCTGATATAGTTGATAGACTAGGGCATGGTTTCTCTCTTGCTCCATTTGCAACTGTTGTGGTATATATCTCAATTTAAGCATGTTTTGAATCAAAGCTGAAAATTGATAATTCTTTGTATGAAATTACCCAGACTTCTCAAGGTAGTGATTGAATTAATTTGGTGCAGGCTGTTTGTACGGCAGTTTCGATGCTGGCATGTGTACCCTTGGGTGAACTTTTCTTTTTCCATATGATACTGATTAGAAAGGTGAGTGTGGACTCTTTGGCTATGCTTTGCTTTTCTTGTTTACCAACCACACATTGTCTAACCAAATCCAATCTCTCTTAATATATTCCTTTTTTGTGTTGTCAAAGAGTTAAACAATGAAATGGATGGCGAGTGCCTAATTGAATTGATCGGGTCATATCACTCCATTTGGTCACTAAGAAATGGTGGACTTGGATAGAACTTTGTAATCATATTGTTATGATTAGATTCGATGGCTGTGAAGTCCAACTTGTTATACCAAATGGAGCATGGCGCAAAAATAACATGATCAGGAGAAAATTATAGAAAAACGAAGATGCATAAATAACATGATCAGGAGAAAATTATAGAAAAACGAAGATGCATAAATAACATCTATGTGAATGTTTTTGAGTTTTTTATTTTTTTGTTTAAAATTCTTGGTTCTTTCTTTGATGACTTCATTACATGAATTAGGGTATTACAACCTATGAATATGTTGTTGCAATGAGAGCCATGAGTGAGGCACCTGCAGGAGGGTCCGTAGATGAAGAATTGGGAAATGTGTTGTATTCTCCAACAGGGTCTGCTACAACTGGCTTCAGTGGTGGAAGTTCTCTGGGCCTGCAGTACAAGGGAGCGTGGTGCACCCCTCCTAGGGTGTTTGTTGATTATCAGGTATAAATTTTTGGTTGTATATGTTTATGTATAGAAATACAAAATCAGAAGCAGGAACATTTGATCATGAGAAAAAAACATATTGTCCATCTAAGAAGTACGGGCACTTCTAAGAAGGTAGCGTCTCATGTCTGTATCCAACATGTTTCGAACATGGAGGCTCGTTGGACACTTACCTACACGTTATCAAACACTTGCAAATGTATCATGTTATTATTTTAAATTGTTTGACTTGGACAAACTTTGAAACAAAACTAATTATTTGTTTGAACAAAAAATGATAAAAGAAAAGACAATGTAGATTTAATGGATTTATATATGTTTTATGTCAGATGTATTTGTGCATGTTCCCCACATGTCGTGTCTTTCATTTCTTGAAAATTATTATGTTGCATGTCCTGTCACTTGTCTGAATCTTCTTAGTTGTCCATCGTTCAGTCCATGTCTATGAGGTGGGATTTTTGACATATGAAGCATGCACAACTGAAGTTGCAAAGCTTGACCACTGACCGCCTTCATAATTTAATGGGTAGTTTAGAAAAGAAAAATACGATGAGCGGTTGTTGGAAAATTTGTTTCATATTTTGTTTTCAGCATTTTGCTTAATAAGTTCAATTTGTAATTATCCCAATTGTTTATTGCCTTTATACATCCTAATTATATCATAGTTATTGTTAGTTCACCGATTGTCCCAAAAGTTGTTAAAAAATGGCAACATTGTATATCAATCCTTGTTAACATCCTCTTCATGTAACCTTGTATTGTACTTGGATAGGCTAACAAATGAATACACAAACCGAACCGAACAAGGTGTGCAAGCACATACGAAATAAAGTACACAAAATAGCAGGATAATGATTGCATATGAGACTTGAACCTAGGACGTCTTAGAACCAAAACTTTGATATTGTCGTAGAACTTCAATTGTTACAAAAGTTTGAGCTTTTGGAACCAAAATAATGTCATAACTAACATTACAATGAGTCATAACCAACACCACAATGTATATTAAGCAAATTTCTCAACAATGTATATCACGCTATCTTAATTAATACGGGACACTCTGCTGTATAAGACTAAAGCTCCTTGAATTTTCCAATTTATTCGCAAGAATTTGAGATGCAAATACACTTGCCAAAAGGAAAAAAAAAAAGAAAAAAAAAAGATGCAATTACATGCTAATTTTCCTCATACGTCATGCCTTACCTTGACTGAATTTTACTACCATCAATATTTTTTTATTTTCCCCTATATATATATTTTTTTTTTGAATGGAGGAAATTTTTTTTTTCCCCTGGTTATTATGAAATTCTTGCTGTATTTGTTGCTACCAACTAGACTCCCTCTGCACGCACCTGATAATTTTGTTGGTCTTAAAATTTTTATTGCTGAATGCTGAATTAACAAGCAAACACAAGCCATGGGTAAAAGAACTGCATGCTTTTTGCAGTCTTTTCCTTTTGCTATTGAAATTGTAGTGCTGACCCGGGAAAAAAATTAGACTTGATCGAGGGATAACTGTATCTTATTTCGGATCTGTCTGTTTCAGGAAGAAGTTGTACCTCACTTGGATCCTGGAATGGTCCCATCAACAGTTGACCCTGATGCAGCTGGAAACAAGTTACCTAAAAGGCCAGTTCGGATCAGTGCTTGGAAGCTTGCAAAGTTGGATTCAAATGAGGCTGTGAGAGCTGCAGCAAAAGCCAGGGCATCCTCATCTGTACTACGACCTGTTGACAATCAACGTATGCAAGATCCTGAATTGAGCTCTAGCGGCAACTTGAGCGTGAGAAGCAGTGTGAGCACTGACATGGGTGGAAACAAAGACGCCAAGAATGAATTCAAACTCTCTCCTTTGAGAAACTCTTTTGGTCCGAGTCAAGGTAGCCGAGATGAATATGAAACCGGCACTCAAAGCGTTAGTAGCTTCAGCAGTCCAAGTCACGTTCATGACTCGGTTACCCTAAGTCCCCTTCCTCAGGCTCATGGTTTGAGCCATTTTAGTGCGGTGGCTGGTTCAAAACCTAGCTTTGTTCAAGACCGTCCGACCCAAAGTTCAAGGGAAGCTTTCCCTAGCATTATCAGCAACCCAATATCCCATATTTCTGCCGGATTTGATGAAAAAATCGTGCAAAGGCGGAGTAGCGCTGGTGATCCGTTATTGCACTCTGGTCCGGCTACTTCTCTCCTCAGAGACATTAAAAGGACTTCGGTTGTTTGGGATCAAGAAGCTGGAAGGTATGTTTCGGTTCCTGTATCAGCTTCAGAAGCACGAGGCAGACCATCCTGGCAGACTATAGCATCAAACCCTAATATTGAAATAAGTAGTTCTGATCGAAGGCCTGTTGTTCTGCCTCGAGAACCCTCATCATCTGTTGCCAAGGCTCCGTTAGAGCAGTCGGAGAAGCTGATGTACACAGGGGAGTCTATTTTCTTTGGGGGACCACTATTGAGTGTCCCGGTTAGGGATCGTTTGGGAAATGAGAAATCGGGGTTGAGACTGGGCCAAGATAGGGTGGTGCTAAACTTGCCTCGGGAATCGACCTCTAACCCCCTTAGGAGTAGTGGGGTTTTTGAGCTGAATCCTCCGGCTGGATCATCAGGTTTGAAAAATAAATAGGTCATAACTCAAAACATGCGAATGAACTAATGTTGTGAAATTTCTCGCTTTTTTAGAGGGGGGTTGATGACCTACCCGAAGGCTGCAGAAGCTGAAGAACAAACCTTTGTTTGGAGCTACTACTTTTTACAACTTGGATTGGAACCTTGAAAGCATAAACAAGCCACTACATTCCCACTGAATTCGAATTGCCAGGTTGCAACGGTTTCGTTTCTGAGAAATTTCTCTGATTTAACACGTTGGTAACTAGATTGAAGGGTTTTGCATGATTGAGCTTCATCAAAAAGTTTCAAAGAGATTCAGCGGCATCGGGACTTTGGTATATGGCTTAGTGAGAAGCTCAAGCACTTTGTCTTGATTATGTTTATTGTAAAAAGTAAGAGCTAGTTGAGAGACAATTACTCATTTAATATGTTCTGCGGTTCTTCATTTATTAAGAGTACTACGTGATACTTCGGAATTTAATGGCTCTAGTTGAGAGAATTTCTTTTTCTTTTGGGAGAAAATTTCAGAAAAAAACTCCTCTGGAGGGTGATTGGAGAAGATGGCTAACAGGTTTGCTGGTTAAATCTGAGGCTTTTTCAAATTTTCTTTTAGTTATTCTTTTTCTTTAATTAAGATTATAATTTTTTTCTTTTTTGATTAGTAGTAATTTATAGTCTTGTTGGATTGAAGAGTTTGGAGAAAAAAGAAAAAGAGAAACAAAAGTTATATCTCTTGATACGATGATTGAGGAGCTGAGAAATGGAGAAAAAAAAGTGTGTTTGATTTAATTTTCTAAATTCAGTTTTTTGAAAATTAAAATTAAAATTAAAATTTTTTATTTTTTATTTTTTGTGTTTTTTTTATTTTTATTTTTTGTGAATATTTTTAAAATTTTAAATAATTTTTTTTTTTTACTTTTTTAGATACATCTTACTTATATGTATTTAAAAAGTAAAATATTTGTGAAAAAAATATTTTAAAAAATTAATAAATATACAAAAATATGAAAAATATATTGAATTTTTGTATTTTTGATATTTAGTGAATTTATTAAAGATTTTTTTCTTGAAAATTATATTTTTTAAGTATATTTATATTAGGTGTATCTAAAAATTAAAAAAAAAAAATTATTTAGAATATTTAAAAAATTCTATAAAAACAAAAAAAAATACAGAAAAATAAGAAAATAGAATTTTTTGAAAAGTGTTTTCAAAAAAATTGGAACAAACATTACTTAAAATTCATTTTTTGTTTCTCACTTAAATTGGTGAGATTTAATAATTAAAAAAAACGAAAAAAGGAAAGAAAATTGTTGTTTATAAAATTTTCAAACTATTTAAATTGCTCATTTAAATATAAAGCATTGAAAATAAAAGAATATTTGCTCTCTTTCATTAATTGTTTATGCAAACAGAATGTAGAACTTACAATTATTTATTGAGTTCGCTTATGTTTATAATTTTTCTCATTTATTTTCTTTTCAGTTAGAAATTATAATATATTTTTTTTCTCACTATATTTCCAAAACGGATTGTAATAACTATTATTCAACGGATGAGGACATTAAAATTCCATCAATTATAAATAAAAATAATAACAAATAAAAAGAAGTCCAATAATTACAAAGAAAAGAAAAAAGAAGTTCAATAATTACAAAGAAGTGGAACTATCTAAGGTCACCATAGCTGCTTCCCAATTCGATTTGCCTTTTTCTTCTGCCACCATTGGTGACGATAGAATGTTGAATTGGACACAAAAGAACAAAAAGAAAAAACTGAGAAATTGGAAGACTTGTAGAAGTTGAAAAGTAATTTTAGGAAGGAAAATTACTCGGTGCTCCATGGCCACTATGTAGCCATGTCACCACCCAATTACCAATTGCCAACCTTTTATTATTCCATCAACAAAAATGTAAAAATGTGAGTGGTTCCAAACAAATTATCAAAATATTCCATGCAATATTACATAGGTATGACACCCTTATGGAGCTAAAAGCAATAAAATGGTGAATAATAAACAATACAATTAGGGCATGTTTGATTGGGTGGATTAGAGCATGGGATTAGGATTATTAATCCGTGGGTCCAATTATCTCATGTTTGTTTTAACATTTTGGTTTAGGATTATTAATCCAATGGATAATTAATCCAACAAATTTGTAGGATTATTAGTAATGGGGTAGGGGTGAGATTATTAATCCAATGGATATTAATCCAATTGGATAGTGAATCCTACACTAATTTAATAGGATTATTAATACTTCACTATTAGTCTTTTGAATCAAACATGACCTTAGTAGACAAGTAGCCATATGATCTTTCGGATTTATGTGATAATTTTTAGAACATCACATTTTTTACCAATCACAGTGGAATGAGGTACTATGCGGCGGTGCTTCGGAGCCGTGAATAACTTCTTGAAAGTAATAAATATTTGATATTCTTCTATAATATATATTAACAATCTTATTAAAAATATAAGAAGTTAAAAATGATTGATTATTAAAAAATTAATTATATTTAAATATCGGATGATATTTAGATGTATGTTGTCAAAAAGCAATCTACATGGATTAAAATGATACTCTCGCCAAGATTTACATTTTGACCTCAAGAACTATAGTCAAAATCTTTGTTAATTTAAGCAATAAATCCCTGTTTGGCAAGTTGAGTTGGGATTAGTCAAAAAAAAAAAATCAAGGTTGTTAATAAAAATTCAAGTAGATATAACATTGTTCTTGACATATTTCATTGGGGGCCTAGATTCTCTCTAGTCCAATTTGAACCGAAGAGGTACTTGTTTGGACTAATGGGACTCATTACAGGTCTCGTTTCAATAGTCTGAATAGTTTATTTTTAAAACTTTTAGTGTATATCATTGAAAAAAAAAAATCAAATCAATCTAATAATTGTAATATATTTATTTTATTTCGTATGTCTTAAAAAAAAATAGTTAATTTTTAAAAACACACTCAACCTTGGTTTGGTATGCCAAAAAATTTGACTTTTTGGTTATTTTAGTCACAAAAAGATAAAATAGGCTAAAAAATCAATAAGATAATATCACATTCAAATCATAATCATTTTATTTTTTTTCTCACAAAGGTAAAAAAAAGCCAAAAAATCTATCTTAAATGAGATTTTTTAGACCCAAGCTAAAATAGTCAAAAAGTTAAAAAATTAAAAAATCAACCTACATATCAAACGAATCCTTAGTGTTTATTTTTTCAAAGACAAATATGATAAGTAAACATGTTATAATTATCAAAAAAAAAAATAATTTAGAGATAAATATGATCAAATGAAGACACTATAATTATTTTAATCAACTTAATTTTTTTTATAAATCATATATATAAAAAGACTTAAAATATCAACCACTCAAATCATCGAAGCAGAGTGGTGACCCAAACAACACCTCTCCGGTTCATATCGAGAATCCAGCCCCTTTGACTTTGACACGTGGATCCCAGTCAGTTACGTACTCATTGTCCGGATAACAATAATGCAGTGATTTTTTGCCAAAATAATACAATCATTTTCTTCCATTTTTTCTCCGCACGCTTTGATCTCTATTTATATTCACATTCACAATCACATTCACAATCGATAGTAGTACTTCACTGACTAAACAAGAACAATAGAGAGAAACGATGATCATCAATCATCTCCTTCGATCTGTCATCCGAAGAACCCTCATCCAAACCCAGGTTTTCAGTGAATCCATACACACACTCTCAACTCACACTCGTATCCATAGATTTGTTATGTATATATGTTTGTCTGTATTATATTCTATGAATTTCTTCGTTATGTTGTGGATCATTGAAAATTTCATACGGTAAATCTTTTCTTTCATGATTTGCTTCTCTAAATTTACTGATTTTCGTTCAAGCTGTGCAAGAATTGGATCCGAATTCACTATCTAACTTCAATTTGATGATATTCTTATAAAATTATCAAAATATATAATCAAGTTTGAGCTTTTTGCTGATTACTTTTTGCTGAATTTGATGATATTCTATAAATTTATCAAAATATATATTTTCCCCTAATTTTGGGGGTTTAATTATCCGAATTTAATCTAATTTCATCTCATAAAATTTTCATGGATCAAAATCGAACAGCTTTATATATTTATTTATTTATTTTCTTTCTTTTTCTTCTTGATATCTACAGCTCCTAATACGTGTTTGACTTTTTATTGGTAAGGAAGAATGTTGGGTGGATGTTTTTAAAATGCTTTGTGATAAGGATAGGGTTTGGGTTGCTCAGCAATTCAATTTCTGGAATCAATGTCAATGAAGTTATAGAAATCTCAAGGCATTAATTATTGGGGAAACTACACCTCACTGGTGTTAGGAAAAAAAAAAAATTACAAAAAGGTGGTGAACATTATAAAAATTAATAATTAAAATCATAAACTTTTTCATTAATGTGTAATAATTTTTCAAAATCTATGCTGAATAGTAATTTCCCCTTAATTATTTTGGACTTCGTTTGGATCAAGGATTTGAGTGGGGAGGGACAGGTAAAAGCAAAGGAAAAAGTGAAAAATTTAGCTACTATTTAATTCAATTTTCTCTGCCTCTTTCCTTTTCTCTCCACAATTTTTTTTATCAAATCATGAATTTAAACACAACGTAGGTGTCGTGGTGGAATCATATGATCCAATAATATAATATTAAAAAATTCAATGCTGTAATAGATGGGTCATGTTAATTACATTTCTGTGCACAAATTTTAACAGGGATTTTTTTTTAATTAGCAGTGTTGTTGAAAGTTATTGAGGTTGTTATGCAAATGGGCTTTTATCAAGATCGGTCCTTGAGAACCAAGTTAGGTACTACTGTTAATGTGCTGTAATGTGTGCTTTTGTGAATGACACGATCGTGACAATTTCAAATAAGAACAAATCTATACTGTATAGTGAGCCATCCTTCACCGCCACCTCTTAGACATTAAACGATGATTATGCACTGCTGCATAGTGAAAGCTACTACTCTGGCACATGGAAACTGTCATGTATACAATCCATTTTTAGTTATGTGAATTTTGGTCAGATTTTGTTTGCAATATAAACTGTTCGGACGCCTCAATTCTATAATTGTCCCATACACATTATTGAAATTGTATATAAAGAGAGATGCAATTCATAATGGAAATAATCAATTTTGATGGAACATCCAAATGAATCCTTAATGTTTTAAGTACTATGCTTTAGTGCTGCCCCTCTCATCAGGCATATTGTACTTCTAATTTTGCAGGCTAGTTCGTACATAAAATATGTTGCAGCTTCTAAAAGTTTGCAGGAACATATACTTGGAGCTCCCTTGTGGGCCAGATGGAATAGTGCAGAAGCATCTGTGCAACAGGATATTTCAGCTACTGAGTTAAAGGATGATAAAGGGTATGCAATGTTTTCCTGTTTTCATCTCTTTCTGTCTACTTTTGGATGCCTGTGCATTTGATATGTGGTAGGTATAAGTAGTTTTGTCTTTTCCAACTCTTTGTGAAAGCTTGTGAGTGTACATGTTCCCATATGCAAATATAATTGTACATGCCAGTTACTATAGCTATTTTTCATTCTTAGGTTTAAGGGGCATAGTATGTTGGCACCATTCACTGCTGGGTGGCAGACTACTGATTTGCATCCTCTAGTAATAGAAAAGTCTGAGGTATACATTTTTCTATATTTTCCCTTTAATCTCCCTCCTTCTCTCGCTTTATTTTTTTTATATGGAGCTCACTATGTTACATGGACTCTAGTACGTACGGATATGCATATTACATGGATTCTCCTATTCCCCAAAACACCTGCGGGGCCGTGTCCACTGGCTATAAGAAGGGTAAAGTTTGGGATATGTGTCTAACACCCGTATCCAATTTAGACACTTGGATCCTCTAATTTTTCATGGTGTTTCAAGAAGAAACTCACATTCTCTAGTAAAGAAACTTCAAAAAAAATATGAAATCTTGCCCTGTCCTGGTGTCCATGGATATAATGACACAAATCTGACACTGCGAATACTCATACCGGATTGCTGAGTCCATGTAGCATAGTTTAGTATCATCCTCTTTTGTATTACTATCTGGAAGGCTGTTTTCTTTGGCCATGTAGAGCACACATAACTCACTTTTATTTATCAATTTTCTGTAGGGTTGCTATCTCTATGACACAAATGGGAAGAAGTATCTTGATTCTCTCGCTGGTCTATGGTGCACAGCTTTAGGTAAACCATCCTCTGTGCCACTCCCCATGCCGTCCCTCAAACCATTTAATTGGCTTTTAAACATAGAATTTATGTTTCTTTCATTTATGTTAAATATATATTTTTAATTTTTGTGGAGATATGAATGCCAATATATGAAGTACATTCTACTAATGTTAACAGTGTACGACTCCATTAATGCTGAATATTCTAAATTAATAGTTGATGTTCCTTCACTATAACAATAAGCTATCAGGCCAAGTTGTATACAATACAACTGTCATTACATCAGTCCAAATGTAGAGAACTGTCGTTATATCAGTCCAATTGTATACAACTCTGTCTCCTAGAGATGAACTTAACAGGAAACTTGAGAAAATTGATAATTTAAGGCTAGATGTGGAGAAAGTTATTGGAGTCCTTCCAAGTAAGCTGAAGAGGTCATGCCAAAACCCAAAAAACCTTCTAGCAAGAACACAAATTAAAAAAAATCGAAAGCAAGGAGGTGTTGGTTAAAGGTTTTGTATGTATTTAGATGAACATGGTGTCCTTTTATGTATTTTCTTTGTGTCTTGTGAGATTTTGACTTAGCCTTTTGGGTTGAGAGGATTTCTTTGTAGGCTAGGTTTTGTGTGGTCTCTCATTGGAAATATTCTGACTCTTTTGGTTGTGTATTAAGCTTTGTTGTATATCTATCTTTTTTTGGTAATAAATTGCTTACCAAAAAAAAGAAATTTGCTTAGGAATGTAATCTCAAAGAAATTTTCAAACTCAGAAAGGAACTTATTTACTTCTGAAAGAAAGAAGACAAGTTTTCAGGGAATTTTTTCAACAATTAGCAAATTATAAAGTAAAATAGCCATGTCATTACCAAATGAATTGCATACTGCACTCCATAGCTGCTGCAGGCAATTAATTGCTCATTGCCTTTTGATAATAATATGAGGGCCACATGTTGGTCCATGCTTGGTTATCCATCATCTGCTTGTTACTTAGACTGTTCAAGATGTGTCGAATACCTTGCTGGATATGAGATGAGATGACATGGGTATTGGTATTAGATATCTGATTACCTTAATTTTGGACTTTCATGTATCCAGTGAAGAAAAAAAAATTCCACAGTAGAAAAGTTCCTGATAAATTCTCTTAATGCATTTTGTTTCTACGTGGACTTGTCATAAGATATAAGTGCCTATTTAAAATTACTTTCATTCACAAATAAATCTAATGAAATTGGACACTTTGACAATTTAGTCATCTTCGTGTGCTTTCCAACTTACAAGTTATGTACATTTGATTACATCCAACAACTGGAAATGCAATTCTTCCACTATGCCATTGAAGTTCATGTGACTTTGTGTTTGGATTACTTGATGTGTCTTCTCAATTTCAATGGCTTCTGTACTTCTGGAAACATTCAGGGGGAAATGAACACCGTCTTGTTGATGCTGCAACTACACAACTAAAGACCTTGCCATTTTATCACTCATTCTGGAATCGTACTACAAAACCCTCTCTGGTATAATTGATGAATGTCCTTTTTTATTTCACATGATTATTTTTAGGCTTCGGGTTCCATTATCACTACACTATTATTTATTTATTTATTTTGCAAATCACATAGGATCTTGCGAAGGAACTTCTAGAAATATTTACAGCTTCCAAAATGGCAAAAGTCTTTTTCACAAATAGTGGATCGGAAGCCAATGACACACAGGTTTGCTTATTATTTGGATGCTGTTGCTTTGTTATTATTTTCTGGAGACTGCTAAATCCACATACCTATATGATGGATCTACAACCCTTTCTCTCTCTCAAGTGGGCACTACCATGTGAGAGACATGTAAGATGGAGGGATGTAAATCCAATGAAAGGGATCTGGATTTAAGAATTCCTTTTTTTCTTCTTATTTCATTACACTATGACAGGTAATATTTCACAAAATTTTCTCAACTGATATTGTAACTCAACTCGACAAGCCTTTTTCCTAGTAGTTATCAAAGTTACAATATGGATTGTATGATCCTACGATCTAGATCCCAACCTATCTAAAATTGGTACTATAGCAAAATAAAAAGTAGGACCAGTAGAACCACAGGTAGGATCGTTGGGCTGGTAATTTTTCACCTTATTTTAATATACATCATCATTGTCTGTGATTTTTCTCATCTTATTTAGAGTTTTACGTCTCTCAACCTGATTCAGCCTACAAGACCCTCTCACCAGATTCTACATAGGATCCAAATTTTAACAACCATGGTCCTAATTACTTGCAGTCAACTCCATAGATCCATTTCCTCCAGTTAATTCTATTCAAAGTCATATACTTTTTTAATTTATGGTAATTGTATAATTTGTTGTCGCTTCAATCCATGTCCTGCTTGGCTATTTCTTTTATCTTCTTTCACATAGATCAAATCCATCCTCCTAAGTTCCTAATTGGTGGCTTGATGAGTCTATGATGCATATGACCATACCATCTCAAATGGCTTTCCCTTGTTTTTATCTTCAATTGGTACCCCTTCTAATTTCTTCTTATGGATTGATTTCTTGTTTTTTTTCTTTTCTTGTAACACCACTCATCCATCTCAACATTCTCATTTCAGATACATTCATTTCCTAAATATTTTTTATTTTATTTTTATGAACTTCCTAATATTTGGTTCCATACATCATAGCATGTCTTATAGCAATCTTATATCTTCAACTTAATATAAATTCTACCTTATGCACTCTTCTATTCATCTATCCCACTCTAGACACAACCTCCTCAATCTCCCCATCTTTATGAAAAGTGGCTACCCTTGGGTATCTCTTGCCCATTATGTTTGTCTATTTTTAGTTTTGTTAAAGTTACATATTATAGATATACATAATTAATACCTTAAGCAAGCTTAGAGAGGGGAGGAGTTGAACACAAGTAAAGTCATCCACAATATGAATATACTGATTTTATGGGAAAGGAAAGACCATGGGCAGCTAACCAATCAAGATATCAACTATACAAATTTGAGAAAAGAAAGAGCTTCTCTTCTTTGTGTTGTCATGTTTGTTCCGGTTGCCCAATTCTTGTTTCAGCATGCTTCCCTACATGAATCCATGATTATAAAGTTGTGACTGTATGTTTTACATTGGTAGTCAACCTGCCACAACTCTTCTCCTTTCTCCAGGCCTGGGAGAGGCTGTGTAAAAGATAAAGCACTAAGCACTGCATAGGATGATTTCTCTCAAGTCTTAACTCATGATTTTTGTTTGGTATGTAATTTTTTTAGGGAGAAACGTTACAGTCTTACTTTTTTCTTGGGTAAGTAAAATAAGTTATTGGAGTTAATGATTATGTATTTGAAGGTCATAAGCTAAATGCAACAGCTGCTTCGATAAACATACTACCATTTTAATAATATTGAAAGCTAAATCCAAACTTCAGAAGTGAGCAACCACCCTAATATCGATTGAGATGACTTCAAACGAGTAACATCCATACTGCCAAGGTTTCAGAAATGATAGTGGGAAAATTCCATTTTTCTGTTTGGTTGTAGGTTAAGCTGGTTTGGTATTATAACAATGCACTTGGAAGGCCAAATAAGAAGAAGTTTATTGCTCGATCAAAAGCGTAAGTCACTTGCTCAATTTGGTATTTTTTGCATTTTATCTAGGCATAACTCCAAAGCAATTTATTGTTGTTTCTGTGTTTTGACAGCTACCATGGGTCAACGCTTATAGCAGCTAGTCTTTCTGGGTAGGATACTTATTAACAATTAACATTATAATCAAAAAGATCAATTGCATTTCTTCTCTATGGGACTCATTGATTCCATTATTTTTATTTTATTTTAATTTTTGTACAGCCTTACTCCACTGCATCAAAAATTTGATCTGCCTGCTCCATTTGTGCTGCACACCGACTGCCCTCACTATTGGCGCTATCATCTTCCTGGTTTGATTTAGCCTTCTTAGTCTTGAGGTTTTTTGTCATGTTTTGTGATTCTGGAAAAATAATTAGCATAAGGATGCATGTGTCAGGTGAGACGGAGGAGGAATTCTCAACCAGATTAGCAAATAATTTGGAGAATCTTATCCTCAAAGAGGGACCAGAGACGGTAATCTGATCGAAATTAATATTTTCTGATTTAAATCATTTTACAACTAGAAAAGGTGGTTTGTGTTGCTGACATCATATGGTGGTTCATTTCAGATTGCTGCATTCATTGCGGAGCCAGTGATGGGTGCAGGAGGTGTGATACTTCCCCCTGCAACTTATTTTGAGAAGGTCTGTTATTTATATTTTTAATTTAAAAGTTTTGTGGCTAGAGAAGCGAGATGATTGAACTTACAATATTCACAACTCTTCTTTGGAAGGTGGAAGAACCTCCTCCTGTGTTATGAACAGGAACCCTACTCTGCAATGACATTAAGTTGTTGGAACACATTTAATATGCAGCATATGATTTCTTATTTTATATTCTGCTCTCTCTCTCTCTCTCTCTGTATTACACAATGCATATGGGACTCTAATTGGCATTCGTTTCTGTATATGATGCAGATTCAAGCTGTAGTGAAAAAATATGACATTCTATTTATTGCGGATGAGGTACTTTGGAGATTCTTTCACATCTTGAGTACTTTATCAAGTGAACTCTTTTGTTTCTGATCCATAGGCAAGACTCTTGCATTGTTGACATTTATGCCGTAGGTAATCTGCGCATTTGGGAGACTTGGAACAATGTTTGGCTGTGATAAATACAACATAAAACCAGACCTTGTCTCTTTAGCAAAGGTAGAATTAGACTATATTCAATACAGGCATAAAGTGCTTGCCAGCAAGATACTTGATTTTGACCCTTTGTCCTCAAATTGAGTTTGTCAGGCACTTTCTTCTGCATATATGCCTATTGGAGCTGTTCTTGTGAGCCCCAAAGTTTCAGATGTCATACATTCTCAAAGCAACGAACTTGGTATCGTCATGTACCTTAATTTCAATTTGTCCCGATTCTCCTTTCATTTATCTTTTTGTTATTTAATATTAGAGCATCTTCCGAATTCATTTTCTTATTAGGAAATTTTTCTCATGGATTTACTTATTCTGGGCATCCGGTGGCATGTGCTGTTGCATTGGAAACTGTCAAGATTTACAAGTATGTTCCTTGCACCTTAATTCCTAAGAATCATAAATATATGAAGTATTTTCATTGTCTGGCCACATTGATTTCAAGCTAGCATGACCAATCATAACTGTGAACTCAAACATTATTGCAAGAGGATGATTTGGACTATTTGATTTCACTCTATTGGGTGAGTTTATTTTTCTTTCTCCCTTCCAGGGAAAGTATTGAGTATAAGTATGCCATGTGGTCAAAGAATCTGAATCATCCCTATATAGATATGCTGTGTTTGATAGAGCCTATGACAGGCTGGTTCATGATTGATTCTGATATATTTTTGGATGTTGTGCTTGATGGTCTAGAATTTAGGTCCTCAATGCTAGAACATTCGCTTGGCATAGAAAAGTTAGCTGTAGAGAGAAAATAATAAGTTTTAATTGTGTTCAGGGAAAGAAATATTATTGAGCGAGTAAAGAGTCTTTCCCCAAAATTTCAAGATGGTATAAAAGCCTTTTCCAACAGTCCCATCATAGGGGAGGTATTTTTGTAACTTGAGTATTTATTCATGTTTCAGTACTATAAAGAGAAAATATGGTTACCAAATGCTTACTTATGTTTAGCTTTTTTAATTTTTCAGATACGTGGAACTGGCTTGATTATCGGGACGGAGTTCACAGATAACAAGTCACCTAATGAATCATTTCCTCCTGAGTGGGGTTAGTTTAACTATTGGTTTTGTTTTGTTTTTTTTAAATTTATTTATTTACTTAATTGCTCTAATTTTTAATGGTTGAGGTACAGAATCAATGCTTTTGGCACCTAAATTATTATTTTTTTTTAAATCATATTTTTCTTCTTCTAACAGAACTTGATTATTGGTAACTCAGGGATAGGTGCATATTTTGGAGCAGAGTGTGAGAAGCATGGGATGTTAGTTCGTGTTTCTGGTGATAATATTATGATGTGTCCTCCATTTATAATCACACCAGATCAACTTGATGAGGTAAGTTTCTGTTGAGAAGAAAATAAAATATCCTCCATTTATGTGCATAATTTTTTTAAATTTTTTTTTTTAAAAAAAAACGATCCTATGTTTCACTAGAAACTTGATCCCTGAGAGTTCAGAAGTTTGTGGGTGGGTTATCAGACTTGGGTTTTGGAAGAATTGCTTCGCATGGCTGTGAAAATCTTGGTTTGTGATGTAGACCAGTTTATGATGTCAAAAAACATCGCTGTTTCAGTGATTCCTTTAGAATGCTAGGAACAGATAGCTGCTTTTTTTTTTGGAGAAACGTTGATGGCATGAGGGGAATTTTATTAAAAATGAAAAAAGATACAAGAGAGGGGAACATATAACCTGACCCCTCGAACAAAAGCAAAACAATTGGAAAATAAAAATAAAAATAAACCTTTAGTGTCTCCATTTGATGGAGGCCTGGGAGGGATAGATTGGGCACATATTCTAGTTTCGGTGTAATTTACACAAAGTGATTGCCTTGGGTTCGAACCTACAATCTCAAAGTTAGTAGGCTTTTAGCAAATGAATCATTGGGCTTCTATAAAAACAAATGAAAAGAAAAAGAAATAACAGCCAAATCTCAATGAATCTTGGACCTATGTTATTAATTAAATCTTGAAAATTACTTTTTTTTTTTATAGTTAATAAGCATCTATGGGAAAGCATTGAAGGCTACTGAAGAGAGGGTGCAAGAACTCAAGGCGCAGTAGAAGTAGCAGTTGACAGCTGTGGATGATAATGTCGAAAAAAACGAGATGGTTCGATGTAAAGCAAACTCTTAATCTCTTTGTGAGACGTGTTATCTAAATAAAATCACTGAGTTGACTTTTTGTGTGCAGTTGATTCGGGTGTTAAACATTTATGCCTTTTCCTTTTCTACTTTTACTCCATATTCTGATACAATGATCATTATTTGCTCGAGCCGTTGCAGATGAGATTGACCGGTAGAAGATACAATGTGAATGCCATAGAGGAAGTCAAAATATGTTATTTTTGAACAGATTTATTCACATCTCTTACAACCGACACAAACACAATCTTCTGTTTTTGGAGCTGAAGCAATTTGCTTAGCTTTACACACCCATCTTAAGGTATCATTCATAATACATTTGAGGGGCTGGGGTCAGTACTGGTAATGACAATGGCAAAAGGGAGGAGTTGTACACCGGGCTTAGTCAGATGGTTTTAGAAGATCCTGAACAAGAAGAGACAAAGATGCCAGATCTGAACACTAGTGAACTGGAAGAGATTGCTCAAATGAGTGTCTAGGCAACAAAGCGGAGGAGAGTGTAGTCAAGGATAGGATTGCAAACGAGCCGAGCTGAGCTTTGCTGAGCTTGAGCTCGGCTCGTTTACTTATCGAGCTTGTTTATTGAGCTCGAGCTAGGCTCGATAAGTAATTTGGCTAGGCTCGTTAATATTAATGAAATTAGAGTTCGGCTCGGCCTATTATTTATATATTATTTAATATATAAATAATATATTTATTATATAATTTAAATAAAGATAAACGAGCCGAGTTTGACAAGTCAAGCTTATTTGGGTTCAAGCTCGGCTTGTTTAGTCGAGTCCTTAACGAGCCGAGCTGAGTTTGTTTATGAACAGTTCGGTTCATTTGCAACGTTAGTCGAGGATATTACTTCCTGAGGAGAGTGATCTGTGAAATTTAGGTTTGTTTTCTTCGAGCTTAATAGTAAAGGAAATAAAAAGTAAAAGCTAACGAAACCTCAGGAAACTTGAGAAGAAAATTGGGTGTATTGATGCAACAACTCGATTGGCTCATTAGCGGCTGGTGGTGGCTGGAGCTAGTAGCAGAGGGAGGAGAGAGTGAAAACACTTCTTTTTTTTTTCTTCCTTTTTTCCCACTTTTTTGAAAGCAAAAACAATTCATCAAACATGTTTTCAAATTAAAATATAAAAAAGAGGAGAAAGAAAACAAAAACAGAAACAGAAAAAAGCAAGGCCTAAACAATGATTGGGCGGTTGCGGAAAAACAAAGGGGAAATAACCTGTTAGTGGGTCATGGAAAAAAAGTGGGGGAAAAACAAAGGGGAAATAACCTGTTAGTGGGGTCATGGGAAAAAAAATTACCAAAGTGATAGACATTATAAATATTAATAATTATAATTATAATTTATTTTATTAATGTGCAATAATATTTGAAAATTACCACTGATTGGTAATTCCCAAAAACAAAAGTGGAAGCTGGAAAAACAATTTTCCCGCAAAGACAGTATTTATTATTTCAAGGTTATATTGCACGGATATTAAAATTTTACAGTTAAAAGACCTTTTCATGAATACTCATATTTTTTTAAGAAAAAATATCAAATTAGTGAGGCAGTCAAACATTATTTATATTTTTATGGTAATGCAACTTTAATGTGTGTAGTGTGTATGGTACAAATTCTCCATGTATATGCTGCAAGTCCTCATTGTTTGTTAGAGTTACACCACAAAAAATTATATTTCTAGTGTAATAATTTTTACATTGTCCCACTGATTTGATATTTTCATTTTCTTAATTATATAGTATATATGCATGCATATTGTTGGCAAAAAAAAGCAATGACGGAGGAATAAGTATTAGCTAACTCACTGATAGCAACTACTGTAATACAAACGATGCAAGCATTATTCAGAATGATTGAGCGTAAGTGTTTAAAGGTGAAGTGGCCTTTTAAGTCCACTATCAAATACCAAGGCACAACCCTAGACGGGTTGTGAAAACTACCAAGTTAGAGTATGGTACAAACAAAAGGAGTTTCGAATGGAGCAGTGAAATGCATAGAGATTGGAAAGAACATCAACAGCAAAAGCACTCCGCTAGACTTTTTTGATGCAACAAATTTGTTTTTTGTACTTTGCTTGGATATAGAAGAAAGTAAATATGGAAAAGCAAAATGACATTGCTCAATTATTAATGCTTAAGAGCATATCAAAAATCAAATGTAAAACAAAAACAAAATAATAGAAAAATAATCTTTACCTTCATGTCATCAAAATTAAAATGAACACTGCATTTTAGCATCCTTAGAACATACCATACATACTTTTCGTGTGATTCTTCTTCTTCTTCATCATCGATTGTCCTCAGAAAAGGCCGTCCTTTCATTTTCTTCCTTCAAAGGTTCGTTATAAAAAATCCGACAACAGATAAGAAAATAAACAAAGTTAACCAGCCCCAAAATCGTAATTAGCCAATAATAGTAATCTACGTGACCCTTGTTAATGTTTTTCGACAACCAGCTTATTTTACCTCCACTACTAGTGACATTATCCACGGTACTAACCAGAACACTGCCCACCAAGGCAGCCATCGCCATCCCAAATGTGTAAAGAGCTACCGCGATACTAGACATGCTTTTAGAAAACCGAGTCATATAGAACTCTACTTGCCCGCTTGAATTAAAAGCATCGCCCGCTCCAAGCAAAGCAAACTGTGGAATTAACCACATTGCAGACATGTCCACAATGGCATTGGGATCATCCGCCAACCCTTCTTCGATGGCCATTTTCCGTCTTACACTTTCGGTAATTGCTCCGATTGCCACTGCGATGCTCGTGACTACCAATGAAATCCCCATTCGAACCTTAGGGCTAAGACCACGTAAATTTCCCGTATATCTTGCTAATAAGGGCACCATTGCCCATTCATAGAGTCCAATCCATATTATTAGTGTCGCAACCATGAATACGCTAAAGGACCCTGCTGGAATCTCAAAGTTTGAGATAAGGTGTCTATCCATGGTGTTTGCTTGAAGCGTCGCAAATGAGTTTTGTGTCATACTCACGGTGACCATAATGCCAGTGGACCACATGGGGATGGCTTTAAGTAAAGTCTTGAGCGATTCTACTTGTTCCACCGTGCAAAGACTCCATGGATCTGATGCCGATCCATCTGGGTTTAAATCTCTCTCGGAATTTGTAATTATACAAGCTTTGTTCAAACACCTACAACATGGAGAGGAGAGTCGACAAACTATGTAATAAGAACTGTACTCAATGATATTATAAAGATAATTGGAGTGAATAATTGTTGGAGATATTATAATAAAATATATATATATATATATTAGTATGGAGGGAATGATGAGGATAATGTGGTGTGGTGGGTGGAGGATGAATTATTTATTTTAAAAAGAGAGTTGATGGGAAGGAAAAGACAAGGATTTGGAAAAAGGAGAGAGTGGGAGTGGGGAACATGGACGGGAGGGATGGGATAAAGAGAATAAAAAAGTAAAATAAATAAATAAAAGAAAAAGTGTGCTCAAGCAGAGAGTGAGTGGTCAAGACACTGTTATAGGGTTCAACAACAGAGGTTGAGATCTGGGGAGATGGGTAAACAGTGAATCCAAGCTTCGATTTCTTTCCGTAATCAAAGTTGTTGGCGGCGTCTTCCTTGCCGCTGATGAGTTGCTCAGGGTGGAACAATTGGCGGTAGGTTCCGGTTCTGACCTCGTCGATGACAGTGGGTTCCAGATCTTCTCTCTCTCTTGCCCAGGCGTCTTTGTATACGTCTCGGCATTTTCTCTCCATCGCGAATGAAGTTTGGGTCATACTCACGGTGACCATAACGCCAGAGGACCACATGGGGATGGCATTAAGTAAAGCCTTGAGCGATTCTACTTGTTCCACAGTGCAAAGACTCCATGGATCTGATGCCGACCCATCTGGGTTTAAATCTCTCTGGGGATTTGTAATTATACAAGCTTTGTTCAAACACCTACAACATGGAGAGGAGAGGAGAGTCAACAAGCTATGTAATAAAAACTGTACTCAATGTTATTGAAAAGATAATTGGAGGGGATGTGAGAGTTAAATTAAGCTCTTGGAGGCAAGTGGAAACTAATCAAATGAATTGGCAGTAGGCAATTGTTGAAGGGAAAGGGGTATGCGGCATTTAGAGAGCAGTCTCCACCCTTTCTCGTCATTTATTCCCGATGTGAAATTTTACAGGTTTTTACAAAACCCCTTAAAGTCTCTAGTGAATCTATTCTTTACACTAAACCAAAAAAGGGACAGAATCGAGACATCACATGTGGTTGGTTTTGGTTCCTCAACGAACAAATTAGAAAGCTTTGGTTCAGTGTTAAATTTTCCCTCAACCCCGCCCAAACCAAACCGAGCCGCTTACACGCTTGGATATGCTGTTTTTTGTTTCTGTATATGTAGCTTGCTTTCTTTCAATGAATTATTAATTACCCAAAAATTAATGAAAAAAAAGAAGAGAAAGAGAGAGGAAATCATTTATGCATGGAAACTATATACATATATATAAAAAACAAGCAGATATTATGACTATTTTCACATGTTTAATTTAAAGTAATTAAACATTTCACAGGACCAAGCGTCTCATAATATGGTAATTGAAATTATAATTAAGAAATCTTTACCACAAGATACCAATGACGCGAGATGACAATCATACAATACCTTAAGTTGTTGGTTGGTGCAAGAAGCTTCGATTCATCACCTTGATAGTAACAATCATCACAAGGACTCGGAGGGAGATCAATGTTTTTGTTTTTAAATGCCACTACTAGAACTTGAGCAAATCCAGAAAACATGCTCTTGCTAGCTCTAACTTTGATATAGAAAACAGAACCGAGTAAGAAAATTAGAGCAGAGAAAGCCATGAGAAGAGCAGGGACTGCAAAACCTACTCGCCAACCGAAATTTTCTTGGATGTATACAAGAACAGTTAAAGCAATAACAGCCGATAATGCAGTTGAAGCATTGTACCAGTTGATGTAGCTTTCCAAAACCCTTCCATTATTTGGGTTTTCTTTATTGTCCAACTGGTCTGCGCCAAATGCCATAGAACAAGGTCTAATA